GTTTACAGACCAGGAAATCAGAATACTGCTGCCGACGCTCTGTCTAGAGTTTGTGCGTTTATGAGTAACAGTAAATTGTACGAGCTTCACGACGCTCTTTCTCATCCAGGGATTACTAGAATGTATCATTGGATTAAGTTGAAGAATCTCCCTTACTCTATAAATGATATCAAACAGATGACTGCTTCTTGTCGCGTATGTGCGGAAATCAAACCACGCTTTGCTAAAGCAAAAGGGACTCTAATTAAAGCCTTATCGCCATTCGAGAGGCTAAACATAGATTTTAAAGGGCCCTTGCCATCGAACACCAATAACAAATATATACTTACGATAATCGATGAATACTCGCGATATCCATTCGCGTATGCATGCCCAGACACATCTTCTGCAACTGTAATTAAGTGTCTAAGGGATATTTTTTATGAATATAGTCAGCCTTTATATATACACAGCGACAGAGGATCATCATTTATGTCGGAAGAGATTCAAACATTTCTCAAAAATTGCAATATCGCTACGTCTCGTACAACACCTTACAATCCTCAGGGCAACGGGCAAGTAGAAAAACTTAACGGAACTCTCTGGCGGACTATACAACTGTCTCTGAGATCTAAAAACCTACCCATAGAGAACTGGGAACAAGTCTTGAAACCTTCACTCCACTGCGTGCGGTCACTTCTATGCACTTCGATAAATGCAACGCCACACGAAAAGCTTTTTAATTTCCCTCGAAGAACACCGGTTGGTGAATCGCTTCCAACCTGGCTTGTTCCGGGACCCATTCTATTGAAGAAATTTGTTCGGTCGAAAAATGACCCTTACGTCGAAGAAGTTGAGCTGCTCCACAGTAATCCAAGCTACTCCTATGTACGTCGACGTAATGGCCAAGAATCTACAGTGTCTAACAGACATTTAGCGCCGCTTCCTATATATAATAATAATAATAATAACGCACACACTCAACATATCTGAAGAAGATTCACTCTCTGATAGTACAGTTGCTGATGAACAGTCAGAAGGTATATTGGTAGACGGAAGTACTTCTAATGAACCTAATGAAGTGTCTAATCACGAAGAAGACGTCTATGGAACTCTCCTGCAAGACGTTCGGCCACCGGATGCTCTTCGGAGATCTACGAGGTCTAGGAGAATTCCACAACGCCTCAATGACTACATACTCGGCGAAGAAACCATAGAGGGGGAGAATGACATATAATCTCCTTTGTGCTTCCTAAATTATCAGTATGTGTTGTCTGTGATCGTTGAAGTGTATCTATCATACAAATATTTTTAAATCTATCTATTGTACGTGTGCTCGTTTCTAGTTCATTAAAGCCAAGTTTCTATTGGTATTTCGTTTCCATGTATCACATACATATAGCTTTTACAAGGCTTTTACAAAGATTATTTTATAAAAACAAAGAAATAAATAGTGGTGAAGAAAGGTGAACTATATTCCTTATTTTAAACCAAATTCAAAAGACTATCCTAAAAATTCCAATAATTACGAATTCAAAGTTTTTGTTCAAAGCACAGACATGTATATAAATTACATGTCTGTGGTTCAAAGTGATAGAAGACAGTGTTGGGCAAAATTTAATTGTTCTGGCAATTAAAGATTGACAATTAATTAATTGTCAATTGCGAAACAACAACTAACAATTGATCAATCGTTAATCGCGTATATCTACAGTTAACAATTAATCAATTTTCAATCTTTTCAATGTTTTTGATTAACAATTAACAATTAAAACAGACAATTATGATAAATTTATAGGGCTTATGGGGGTGGGTTAGGGGGTCGGTTAGAAGGCCGGCTAGGGTGTTGGTCAGGGGGCCGGTTAGGATGCCGGTTGGGGGTCGATTGGAGGGGTCGGTTAGGGGGTAGGTTAATTGAAATCAATAGCAATTAAAATCAATTGCAATTACATCAAATGATTTCAATTGAATAGATTTTTTAATCTGATTGAAATTTAATCGATTAACGCCCAACACTGATACAAGATAATGTGATTTAAGTGAAAGTGAACTTTACTAAGAACTACTGTAGAAAATATTTCTGAGTATCCCGATCTGGATAATTAAACGAAGACATGGCTCAAATTACTTGATTCCAAGCCAAAACTCTTACTAAAGAAAATCATTGCTATTTGCCGTAGAGGAAGAATAAAAGAGATTCGCTCTGGACCTTTTGGAGGGAAAAGTGTCGTTTTTATTTTGACTTTCAATTATTTTGTGAAATCTAGGTTAAAGTGGAATAGGATAGTGCTATTGTGCCTTAATCGAAGATTAAAACGCGAAATTATACGAATCTCGAACTAAAATACCCCTATCGGCCCGTTTTAAGAAATCCCGAGTCAATCCAAGCACGCCGCCTCAAATTGCCTATCCTCTTTGTGGCGGCCATATTTACAGAAACATAATTATTTAAACTTCATGTTTAGGCTGATGGCTTTGCCAAAGCCTTAATAAATTAAAAAAAAAAAAAGAGGAAGAATAAAAAAAAACTAGTTGCGGTATTTGAGGTTATAGCAAAATTTTTTATTTGTTTTACATAAAAATCAACTTGCAATTACTCCTTTTACCTAAAGCTGTGTGTCTTTAAGTGTAAGCTCTATCGTAAATATAGCTCTACACTTCATATTTATGTATTATAATATTATATATTTATTTATCTTTCATCATGAAATTCAAATACGAAATTATAATCATCGACTATCATTTTATCTCATAACGCCTTATCAAATTTGATTTAAAATAATTGTGCCTATTAACTTGCCACTTCTAACCAATTACAAAGTGTCAGCCTTCTTAACTATGTTGACGATCTTGTATTAGTAGTTTGTGTTGACGATATAGAAAGGCAGCATTGAGGACATCGAGTATATAACCAGAAATAGAGACGAAATAAGGGCTATACATTCCTGGTAACTCATCAGTGATATATCACTTATAAATAATATCAATTCTCGTTTGCAATGAAATATAGACAGCCACTAACACCTGATCTGTGTGTACGTCTATTCCAAAAATATTCTGTATTTATTGTAATAAAGATAATATCTGTAACATGTGCTGTTCCATTCGCTGGTGTGGGGGAAAACAGCAAAACATCTAATTACAGACCAAACGGAATAAAATTCCATTGGTAATGAAATATGTAATTTTACAATTTTCGTCCATTATAGCAAAGCTCAAGTTAACTAGTCTTTTTGAAGTGAAACAATTGACGACTATTGTTTCGAATTCGGGGTGGCCAATCAGAGCGCAGTTGTCACAGTAATGATATGGCAGAGTAGTTTTCAAACAAATTTAAATACATTTCTTCTCTATTTCTGGTTATATACTCAATGGCGGAGGATGAGGAATAGAAAAAAATCCAATTTCTTTCTAATCTCTATTGTCGTCAAACTCTATTCGAAACGAAATATTACGCTATTATATCTTCTACTCTCATATGGAAATCAATAATACTGTTTTAATGAGTTTTTGAATTTTAACCTTATTTTATGATCTTGTTTTATACGAATTTTTAATTTTTTTTTTGTAATTTTCCAGATGTGGCCAATATTTATGCAATTTTTGCGCTCCAATGCGCCATATCTTACCTTGCCAGTAGCGGCAGTTGTTGGTCTCATAGGATATAATTTTGAAAGTTTAGTTTCTGATCGATATACTCCATATAATAGTAAGTACTTAATAATTGACTTTATTAACAACTTTTACATTTTACATACACAGTTGTATAATGTAGCAGTAGAGCTCCTGGTAAAAGAGTTCAACCAGGGAAGTACTGCCACCTTACCTATGTCTGCTGCCAAGCAGTAATGTGGGCATTACTGCGTTCCGGTTTTGAAGGGTAAGGGTGATGGGCGCAAAGAGAGAGTGAACCTCAGATCGCTTGCGATTTATAGCTCTGAGTGGCACTGCAACTATTACGGACAGGTGTGTCTTTTACCATCAGGCGCACAAACTTGTTCATCCCTTCACTTATTATCATAAAAAAAAACACTTCCAGACACAATTGGAACCATCATGCATTTTCAGTACTAAACGCCCTTAGCGTAAACGTTAAGAGTGATCAAACCTATTCTGTCCTCCCTTGTCATAAACCAGTGGCGCGCAGTGGTGGTCCCAAGTGGCAAAGCAATGGGGGCAGTAACGAGCCCTAAGGTTGCCAACAGACTGACTGCGAGAAGTCGTAATCAACTTCAAGCAACTGAGATCTGGACCGCATGAAGTTGATAACGAGTTCACAGTTCTAGTGAAACAGACTTCATGCAGCCAAGATCAACTGCATGCAGTTAATGCATGAAGTCGTTGTTCGAAACCTTGACAGCATGAAATTGATAATGATCACTATCGACCAATGGTAAATGGTTCCGGACCTTGAATGAAGTCACCCTAAGAAATGGAAGTAAATTAAGGAATAATATTTAATGCAAGCGCAGATATTTTGCATATTACTTTAACTCCATAGATTTAATCTAAACTGGGTTCACGGAGTAGCTAATCAATGTACTTCTACTTTTATTAACATGGACTTCCATAACTGGAGTCAAAGTCAAAGACTCATTTATTCCATAGTTAAAATGAATTAACATTTTCAAGTGTAAATAACTCTTTGGCTTTGACTTTCTCAAAGTAACACCTGAATCAATTAATTACTTCATGTCCCCCTTATCCCAATTGCATTTATGTTAGTATTTATGTTATTTTTTTCTCATTTTGATGTTATCTTCCACAGAACCTATCCAAGATCAACGAGTAGACCGTCTAATAGAAGAGGAACAGTTAAAAGACCCAACAAATGTACAAAAATTGAAATACAAAGAAAATGTTCTAGGAAAAAATGTGTCACCATCTTTGCAGAAATAATTGTTACCAATATTAACTTCTGCAATAGCTAAATCATACTTGGAGGACTTTATTCCAAAACTAGTACAGACATCACAGGATATATTTTTATAGCATAACTTAGCAGTGACTATGTTCACACAAAAAACAAAATGACGTACTGCATGTTGACCAGAATGTTATTTACAGCTTCAAGTGGCATTTTTTGAAAGTAATTGTATAAGTAGTATAATAAGAGTGTGGTAACTCCATATAAACGTAGCAGCGCGGCTTGGATATGTGCGCGGCCGCTGCACGCCGTGTACGGACGCACACATTTGCGTAATCTCGCGATGCACTCGCGTAGCATAACACTGATCGTCGCGATGATTCATGCCCATTTTGTCGCGCGGACGCCCTCTTGCCAGATGCAGTGACGATTTGTGAATCGCTGCTGCCAGCAGATAGATGCAAAGAGCTGAGGACCGGGTGAAGTGCCGCGCATTGGAAGAGGCCTATGTCCAGTGTTGATAATGATGATGCCCTTTTTGTACTTTTGGCAGGGCTCCGTCACTCGCTCAAGGTTACGCGATAAGTGCCTACCGCTGAGTGCACCGATGTCGGCGCAAGCGCTCATGCAAATCTTTTATTTATGACCATTCGGCTCCGCACGACTGCACACGGCGAGTAACGTTATTTTCACCTCTCTGAGCACGTGCTTAGGCTCCTTTTCCTCGTAGTGAGCGCCTGGTGTCTTTAGTCAGATTTAGTAGGCTATTATAACGTAGATATTTTCAATTTTGTATGAAAGTGATGTATCTGTTACGTAGTAACTATTGAGTAATCTGTGCTTCTGGGTTATATTTCTGGGCGCGGTTCTGGGCCTGTGCCACAATTGTAACTATCTTGTATCGGTAAGAAGAGGAATAGGCAACATACGTCGTTGATTTGCTACTATACATCACTGTTTGTTTTTCTTCGAATTATAATTTTTAAGTAACGCAGCAATTTACAACTACCTAATTCACGATTACAAGCATTTATGTAACCTTATATTGTACTTGAAATAATATCGTGCATAAATAAAAATAAAACCCAGTCTGTAAGGTACGATGTTGTGTTGGACAAATGGCATTTTAAATGGCGAATCAAAATCTTTTTATTTCATCTCATGGACTCTTAAATCTATGGTTCATAAAACATTTACACGATATTTCCGGTGGCCCTTTCCGGATACATACCCCATGTTTGCCTGCGCGGGGAAAGGAAATTATTTATTTCATTTGTGCACAAATAGACGTTATTTCCGCTAAACACTTATTGCAAATATAATTTAAAAAATAGTTTGACTTTTACAAAACATTTTGATACGCCGTAGTACGTTTTTGTGCGCGACGCTATAAAATTCCGTATCTAATACTTGCCTACCTACTAGACACGTTCACTGATGCACACAAAAAATAATATCTGCGCATCTTAAAAAATATGACTTTCTAGTCAACAATTGCCGAGTTTCTCCTAGGGTTCTAGAACTTATGAAATTCAAATTCCACAACTTCAGTTTAGTTTTTAACTAAAGAAATTTTTCGTATTTCGAGAATAATAAATGAAAATGGAGTTACTTGTTTTAGCTTAGGACTTTGAACAGAGATTGCATATAGTAATTGTAAATACATTTTATTTTATTTGTTAAACATATGTAGTTTTATTTTATTTTTATTATTTTTTGAAAAATCCTCACGCCCATTGGACGCACACTGACGCACAGAGCTGTAGACCTAATTTTCGGAACGGGACTATCTTGTAATGTTTACTCCTTTATTGATTTGATATATTTAAGCTTTTGCCGAAAAGGGCTCTAACAGCTATTTCCGCACATGGATTTTCTATCAACCATTGCATCATATAATGCCCGCCTTCCACTAGGTAAGAGTTTCACTGAAAAGAGGTATTTACCTTCCATAGCTGGCTAAGGAGTGAGTTGAGCGAGTTGATTACCTACCATAGGCGGCGGAAAAGTAAAAAATCAGTTTCAGTTTTTGTTTTGTGTAAAAAATATTTGCTTCAATGTTTTAAGACAGTAAACGCTATGAATTTTATTTCTTTCCAATTTCTTCTCCCTATTAACCCTCTAATTTATATAAGATTCATCTCTGAATAAATTAGGGAATATTGTAGGAAAGTTGTAGTCTTAAAACATCTCAAATCGATTTCGTTGGAGCACGACCAAGTCCTATCGTTTAGAATACCTTTACGGAGTCCGTGTAAAACTAGCGCGCGGCACAGTGACATATCGGACCCATCTTAACTCGCCAAGCCCGCGCATTAGCAGTGGAAGCACTTCTAAGAAATTTACAGTTGCGGATGAAACCGACTCCGCTGAAAACCCGCTCACTCGTTTGCGGTGGAAACACTTCTATGCAGTTTACTGAAATAAACTAATATTAACATAATCCAAGCATTTTTATTATATGCAGAAGACATTTACAGTGTCAATTTTAACCATAGATCTACCAACCATAGTGTTTATATGTATATATATAACATTCGTCCATCCCTACAATTTACAACATCTCCTCGATAAGCCGCCGAGGTCGCCTGATGGTGCGCTCATGGCGCTTTGATGCTCGCTGTAGGGACGCCGTGGTAGGTGGCGAATGCGTAGTAGCAGCGCATGGCCGCATTGGGGTGGTAGCTGAGTTCTGCGTTCCTAACGAACTTGCAAGGGGTTCCACCTCACTGGTGTTTATATGATGCGGGTCGTGTGTGGCCTGAGAGCCATCAGTAGAAACTGGACTGATATGGTCGGCTAAGCCGGAACGCACTTGATCAGCATGATATCTCCTTTCTACCCCATTGGCTGTGTCTACGGTGTACGAGTATCTATGCGTACGTCTGGATATGGTAGCAGGTTCCCATCGTGACCCATCCCGGGCTCGGACAAACACGCTGTCCCCCGATCTAAAACATGGTGTTAAATTTTCTGAATTTATATTAGCCTGTATCTGCCTATGCTGCAGGGCCTTTTTAGAGTTAGGGCGTGCGTTATCCAAAATACAATGCAGCTGACGTCCGAACATAAGTTGTCCTGGGCTCTTACCGGTGGTGGAATGAGGTGTTATGCGGTAGGAAAAAAGGAAATTTTCTAGTCGTCCTTTCAAGGTGAGATGGTCAATGGCACTTGATGATAGCCTGGATTTGAAAGTGCGAACCAGACGTTCAGCCAAACCGTTAGTCCGGGGATGGTACGGGGATGATTTTATGTGTAGAATACCCTTGTCTCTACAATAGTCTTGAAATTCCTGAGAAGTAAACTGTGGTCCATTGTCAGAAACCAAGAATTGAGGGAAGCCGAAGTGGTGAAAATGGAATCTAACTCTTCACACATTTAGAAGTGGTTATCTGGTTCATGGGTTTAATTTCGACCCATTTCGAAAGCGCATCTGCTAAGACAAACCAATATTTTCCCTCGAACGGGCCTGCAAAATCAATGTGTAGCCTTTCCCACGGGTTGTCAGGAACGGACCACGAGTATATAGGCAATTCAGCGTTGTTCGGCCGATTCTCTTGGCATTTGCGACAACGTTTAATGTACTCCTCAATGTCATCATCAATGGACGGCCACCATACGTAAAAACGTGCTAGCGCTCTCATTGCGGATATGCCTGGGTGTCCTGTATGCAGATATTCCAAGGTGGCCTTTCTCAGGGTGTTCGGTATTACTATTCGACCTTGCCACATTAATATCTTATTTTCAATGGACAACTCAGTGCGCTTCCGAGCATAGGGCTTTAAGTCATCTGAATAAAAATTTTCACGCCAGCCGGTCTTAATGTACTCTGATACCTGTTTAAGCAAAGTGGTGTGTTGAACGGGTTTAACCGAATAGACTGGCTCTGGGAATGTCATTTTATACATCTCGCTCCACTGGAGGCCAAAAAGCATTGGATTGGCGTCTTCCATAACCACAACAGGTAATATTTTCCGCTCTCCCATGATTTCAACGGTTACGTCTGTGAGACCTTTTGGTTTGAGCTTAAGGTTCCCATAAGCTCGTAGCTTCGGTGCCTTGGTTAGAGAGGGTTCTCCGATCCGCTTCCAGAAATTTGTGCTAATAATGGAGTACACGGATCCTGGGTCCCAATCGAATGTGCAACTGACACCGTTGACGGTTACATCAATTCTCTTGCTGTCCTTGTTTCTCTTGCGTTCAACCTTGAAGACATCATCACTTTCATCAGAACTCGTGTCAAAAGACTGTGACGAACTTCCATCATTGTGTGCATTGTTCTTAATTTTATGCAGTTTGTTACTACAATTGGTTGGTTGTTTCTTTTCTGTCGCGGTGCTCGCTAAATATGCCCTACCAGACTTTATACAGCAACTTTCAAAATGACCTTGTATGTGGCATTCATCGCATGTATGGTCTTTTGCCTTGCAAACGTTTAGCCTATGTCTCTCTTGTGCACCGCATCGACGGCACTGGTTTGGACTTAGTTTGCGTAGAAACGTACATTGTTTATAGTGACGTCCTGTACTTGTTCTTGCTTTTACTTTATTAGCGGTAGCGGGCATGCTACTATCAGCATCACCTTCTGCTAACTCTCTGGACTGAGCTACTGCAAAAAATTGATCGAAAGTAACCTCTATAAGTTTTCCGTCGTAAGTCTCTTGAAGGTCTGGCCATTTCTGTTTTAGGTCCACTTCTAGTTGAGGGTGATTTAAGCCGGTAGCAAATCGATCGCGCAATTGACGTTGAAACATTGTGTCCTTGTAGCCACAATCGCTGGCGAGTTTCTTTAGCCTGTTAGCATACTGTTCCATAGTCCCGTTGTGGGCTCGTACGCAACTCCAAAATTCAGTTAGTGCTTTATACCTCGTAACTTTAGTTCGATGTAAATCGAGTAGTTTAGACTTAATGTCATTGTAGTAGGAACTGTTTCCAAAGTTAGGAACGAGTGCTATTTTTAGGTCGTGAAATATCTCAGGAGACATACATGAAAATAATAATTCTTTCCTTGTGTCATTATCACTTACGGCCCATATGTCACATTTGGCTTCGAAAAAATCTAAAAATTTTTCTACCGATACAGTCGCAGGGTTAAAAGTGTCGCATTTGAAACTTTTAATAATAGTGTACTTGTTGCTGCTTGCCGAGCTGGTAGGTTCCGTGCCAGGTGTTGCTGGCGTGGGGAGCTCCACTGCTGGTCGTTGCTGCAACACAAGTTGTTGCAAAATGTCCGAAATCTGTTGTTGCTGATTTTTTTGTAATTGTAGAAATTCTTGGAATTGTTCCTTATTCATTTTGTTTGGTTACTCCTCGTCGCCAATGAAATAAACTAATATTAACATAATCCAAGCATTTTTATTATATGCAGAAGACATTTACAGTGTCAATTTTAACCATAGATCTACCAACCATAGTGTTTATATGTATATATATAACATTTACCCTTGCGAATCAAACGGAATCCGTATGGATCCCGCTCTGCTCGCAGTGGAAAGCGGGCGTAAAGGCAGTAACGATGCCAAATGATAAAATAAAACTATAAATTTAATATAATGTAATGAATTTCACTCTGTGCGCTGCTATTATACAACTCCAAACTAGGCCGATAGTGTATTCGGTGGTAAATGAACCAAAATAAGAGCTTTATTTTTACTTCACAAAATAATCCATTGCATTATTCTTCATACCATTGTGTCCCTGGAAGCTCAAAAACTTATTTTAACGATTTTATCGAATCCAAATCGATTTTATATATTTTTATTTACTATGGCAACTACATGTACGTCAAATATTAAAAAGTAAAATGCTGTCATTAACCGCTTGAAAAAAAACCAATGCGCGCTTCTCTTTTGGAATTTATGGAACTGTAACAAGGCTGCTTTTGTGTTTCACGATTAATTTACCTAAATATTTCCACGTTAAATAGGATAAACATTGTGTTAATAGCGTTACCATCGTTACTGGCGCCGTTCAAGATAGTTTTGTGTCTTCTGTAAGTGTTTTACGGATCAATATCGCGTCTCTGGCGAAATGCATTCATAGCGTCACTATATTTTGCAAATGGAGACTAAGTCTGGAGTGGGTATTGAGGACCACTGGATGAAAGGTATAATGGAACCGGCGGGTGAGCAGAATGACGGGCGGTCGGTTAAACGCGAGAAAATGCAGGAAAACTGCAATGGAGCTGATATTAACTACGATAAACAGCAAGAAGTGCGTTATCGGTGCGATGATTGCAATTTGACATTCGAAGGTCTGGAATATCTGCTATTACACAAAAGATTTCATGGTAATGATAAAGATGGGGTGGTAGTCGAGCCGGAGACTTCGGAAAGGCCTATAAAAGACGGACATAAGAAACGCCGTAAGTTTAGATGTGACCAATGTGATGTTAAAGTTAATTCCCAGTACCACTTGGATATACACCGCAGTAAGCACGAAGGCGCAACCTCCAAAAAGTTTATATGCGAAGTTTGTGACCGTAGTTTTGTGGCCGCACAATTCTTGAAAAGCCACATGCAGACTCATTCATCAACAAGTACAATAAATTGCGAGATATGTAACAAAAGCTTTACTGGACAAGCATATTTGAAGTTACACATGCAATTACACAATGATATCAAAAAGTTTAAATGCGGTAAATGCGAGGAGATGCTACCGACTAAAAACTGCCTTAAAATTCATATGAAAAAACACACTAAGGTTAAAAATTTCAAGTGTGATTACTGTGGAAAATTCTTTGTGTCCAAAGTTACTATGGAAAAGCACCGTCAGACTCATGAAGGGCAGCCTGCAGATTGCCTACTGAAGTGTACGCAGTGTGACCGTACAATGCACTCAACATTACTTAGAACACACATGGCTCGCGCCCACCCGTCGAACGTGGAAGATGATGTAAAACGACCATTCAAATGTTCAACGTGCGGTAAAAGCTTCATAATGAAAATCAATCTTAATTTACACATCCGAGTATGCCATCCAGATTTGGCCGAACCAGAAGATGACGAAGAGGAAGTTATGACAGATAATTCTTAGTTTTTAACTGTAGTTGTAGGTATAGTCATATAACAGACTTTGTCTATGAAATGTATGAAATGACATTATTAGTAGTTCTTCGTCAAGTGAAGAACCATAGGGTCTAAATCGCCATTGTGATGACCCATTTGTGAAACTAATTTAGGTATAAAGAGTGACAAATGGAAACTAGTTCTGGTATTAAGTTTGAATAGTGTTGGGTGAAAAAGCAGTTACTTTGTCATAATTAATTAAACCGTCAGAAAGAATCAACAAGACTACACTGGCTGGTGAGACATCACAGCCAACCCAGGATCTCAGTATTTTTAAAATTATTAATTGTTTTATGTAATATTTAGATATTATTGTGAAGAAACCTGCATATCAGAGGTTGCCACACACATTTGACGGTGTGTGAAATGCCTAGTCTTTTTTAATTATACTAAGTAATATGACAAACAAGTTGTGCGCCTGGTGGTGAGCAGCACTCCTGTTCGTAACAATTGCATTGCCTTAGAACCTTAAATCACTAAAATCTGAGGTACACTACCACTGTGCTGAGATAAACCCAAGTTGACAAGTTCCATGTGCCTGTAATTTTACTTTCATTTCCAATATTTTTAATTTTTTCAATCTGTAAATAGAATGTATACGTACATATGCACAAAAGACCTGTGAGGCATTGAGCCACATGAAGTTGACAAGTCCCGTGTGCCCGTATTTTCACCAGCACATTTACCCTTCTAAACTGGAACACAGTAATGCTTACATTACCGTTTGGCGGCAAAAATAGATAAGGTGGTACTTGGACAAACACTTTCACAAGGAGCTTGACTGCTACAGTCTGCATCGGGAGGACAGTCTGATTTACTGTGTCCATAACTTGTAAAGAGGAGACCTGTGAATATAATTATGATTATTACTGCTACTAAGGTGGCTTGGGGCATTGTCCCCTTTATCACCCATAGAATTTTGACAGAAAAAAATACGATCTAATATTTCATACTGCAAATGATTCTTCAAGGAAAAATCCTGAGCCACAGAAGATGTGGTTGCATAAAAACCACATGGCTCCAAAGTACCACGCACTCGTATGAGCCACAGTTTAACCGGCCTATGTGGCTATTGTGGCCAATCGGCTTCATTTTTACCAGACGATTGACCCAATTAAAAATTGTTCTATCAGTATGACAGATGAAATAACGGTATTACTTCCATCCCTGACATTTGTTACTTAAAACATACTGGATTCCATTGTCGCACTTTAGTAATGTACAGTCTACAAAATCACTAGACTTTAAGATTTAAATACAACTCTATGCCATTTATGTTAAGAATGGTCCAAAGTAAAAACCCCAGTTTTGCTTGTACTAAATAAGGTGAATATCCCAGTGTTGACAGTTTTCGCAGATTTCGTCATGCTGCTATTTTTTTATTGTAAATCCATAATTTTAAAATAATAATTTCAAAGGTTTCATCCCTTGTACAGAACAAGTTTTGTGCATTTGGAAATTCATGCAATTTAAAATATACTTTGGAGTCATTTAATTCTTAAATTTTATATTGCATTTTTTTGCGCGCCTTCAAATTAGACGCTTGTAGAAGTGCTGAAGTGGATGTCAAACCGTATGAATGACAACCACTGAGCCGGAAATAATGGTAAGAAATAGTGTTGCAACAAATACTTGATGATACACGCAGGTGTCATAACGGAAACAGAAATAAATAGAAAGTAATGCGGAAGCGGAAGTGTAAATAAGCATGCCTTCAAATTAGACGCTTCTAGAAGCGCTGCAGTGGTGCGGCAACCACGCGTCTAGTGCTTCAGTAAATTTTAGCTCACTGATTGTGACTGCAACAGCTGTGCGCACGCGTTACAGCAGTGGCGATGCAACTGCGCTTCTAAATATTGATAGGTAATTTACAGGTTAGTTTTTCTCTTCCTAATTTCGGTGGCAGTTTTTATTTAAGTATTCGAGTAAATTATCAAATAATATTTCAGTTTACTAAACTAGAATAATAAATAATACTTCGTGATAATATTCTACAATATTTAAATAATAGAAATTGCCACCAAAATTAGGTAAAAAAATTAACATGCAAAAACCGACCTCAAAAGTACGTGGAATTACATATAATTTATACATTATTACATATAATTACCAAGTTTTATTGAAATCGGTTACCGGAAAGTGCGCAAACCCGGATTCATCCCCTAGTTCGCCACTATACGGGACTTGACACATACAAATCGACAAACAATAAAAATCGGTTCTCACTACTCAAAGTATATTGAGAGAGAAAAACGCCTTGAATTGGAGAATAGTAAAATCAACCATAAAAATAATTGCTCCTCATAATAAAATTTAGGCTTATTTATAAAAATGAAACTTCATGAGTGAACAGCCACTCTTAGAGGTGGATGATTTTCTTCTAAATTAAATGGGACTGCAATAGAGGTACCCTCTTTCCAACAAAAAAAAAGAATCATGAAAATCGGTTCACAAATACCGGAATTATCGCTTAACATACATACAAAAAAAAACATACAGTCGAATTGAGAACCGGTGAAAAGAAAAAAAAGTGAGAATCGGAATGAAACTATTTTTCCGGATTTAAAGTGAGAATCGATTAAAAATTACCCGTATGAAAATCAACAGTGGCGCGACTGTAGCGCTTCTAATAAGCATCTAATTTAATAGCGCCTTAAAAGTATAAATACCTTTTCTGACGTTAGAATAAAATACAACTTTTAAGAGCTATTTTTAATTATAATCATCACTATGGGATTGTTATCGCGGAATGACTGCAAATTATTAAAAAAAAATCTATAATATCCAAAGGCTGTACAACAAAAGTTGTTTTATATCTTTCATTTAAACTCAGTTATGCGAAAATGATCTATTCGTACATTTAAATTGTGGTATTTTTTTATGTAAATGTCGCTTTGTGGTTTATATAATTTCTGCATAATTCTGCATTACATAAATCCCTCAACATTTATTTTTCTCAAACACCTATGTATGCCAGATGGCCTGTATAACATCACAACTTTAGTTATTAATTTTATTTTTAAGAATTCTTGTTTTGTATCAGTGTGTCCCACTAGTGGACAAAGATCTTATACTTGTACTGTGTTGTGTCGATCTATATGCATTGTAACGGTACCTCGCCGAACTGAATAACAATATGGTCTATGGTTTACGTCCGCGCAGTGGGTTTCGACCTTTAAGGAAAAGGTAATATATGCAGCTAATTTTCTATATCACTTAATATTGTATATAAACATCACAAAATAGTAAGGTACAGTCAGCGCCAAAATTATCTAAGCCTTTAACGCTCGTTTGTTAAGTGCTCTATTAAGTGAGTGATGCCTTCAGTTTCGGTTTAATAAAGAACATTAAATATTTCATAAAATTGAACCTTATGTTAATACGCATAAGGTGCATTTTCAAATATTTCCCGAAATGTCAGTCTCTTTGTGCTTTTACTAAAAGTAAGCCTATCTGTTAGTCTTAAAAATATGCATTTCGATTACAAACAAAAAGTACAATGTAATTTTTATCTCAATTCTTTAAAAAAGGCTTTATTTTAGTAAAATTACAAAAAATTATATTTGGCATAATTATGCCAAACCTTAGTAACGATTTAACGTTAGTTATAATAAAATGTGCCAGACAATCACACCAGCTTGTAACAGGTTTAGTTAGTAACTTCAAAAACTAAACATCATTTACTGATAAGACGAAAATTGATGTCAAACAAAAATTTTTTTTTCAAGGTTCTATAAAGCCCTCCTTGTCATAACTAACGCACTTGCGTTTTGGTAACTTTCAGAATATTTGCGTGCTTGGATGACAAACCCAGTCTAGTTTTTTCTTGAAAAATGTCAATTACTCTAATTTTGGTTAAGAGTCTATACAACCTCCAATCAATCACTGGAAATAATATACAGGGTGTAAATTTGAGACGGGGCAGCAAGGCCGGCTACCTTAATCGTTGTAGTTATAGGAAAACGGTTCTAGAAGACTATCCATGAATTTTGAAGATATATTGATTGGCATTCACAGATTTTGAAAAATAAATTATCTTTATGGTCAATTGCGTAATGTACAAATTAGAAGGCAAAAAACATGTCACGCGTATTCCTGGCGAATGCGTGAAGTGGCGCGAAGGCAGGCAGTGTGACGTCACTCAGCCTCAAGGCGCAGTCGTGAGAAAGCTCGCGCAGCGAGGCGAAATTGACCATTCATGATGAGCCTTACATTATACCTGGTCTCAAACTACTACTACCGAATTCCCTGTACTTTACGTACAACAACAACAACGGAATTCACATCCTATCGAGAATAGGACCTAGAACTCCTCAGTCGGGATTGCTAACCGCTTGACCGTCGAGCACTTTAAATATTTTCCATTAAAAAAATTGGCATAGCATCAGAATAATGAAATTGATTCAGAACAGCCAGAACTAAGGTACATGAACCAAATTGAAAAGGTTGAGATCGCCAAGAATCAAACTCGAAATTGAGTCTTTTACCAGTAATACAAAACTTGCAACTACAAATAAATTGGCCTAACAGGGTTATTTATAAAATATTAACCCATTTCGGAGTACTATATTTTTTTGACATCATAAACAACTTTTGTTCCATGAAATAATAAATTACCAAAAACATACTTTTAAGTTTTTGTTCTTAAAATCTTAAGAGCACGCAAGCTTGGCACTTAAGATTTAAATCCAACTCTATGCCGCTTACGTTAAGAATGGTCCAAAGTGCAAAGTGTCAAGCTCAAGACGTGCTCGTTACTGTACAAGCTGACACATTTTAGATTTATATTTGGTAGTAAGTTGTAAACAACTAGGAGACACGCGGAAGGTACGCATGCTTTCTGTTGCTACCGCACCGAATTATTGCCGTTTAGAGCGATCAATTTAAATACTTTTATTTTTCTACGAACGTAAAGTCTGGTGAGTTATTAAGAAATCTGGAACAAAAGTTGTTGTATATGATGTTAGTAATGGGAGTGTTTAGTTATTCCTACCATATTATACTCCAGTATGACTTGATGACGTGTTGTCTATTGCTGGCCAATGGCATGATACCCGAAATAGCTATTTTCACCGATTTGTGTCATCGTACACATAATCCATTGCTGTTTATAGCCGCTACTTTGCGTCACAGGGTTCAATCCTGTATCTTCTTCGTCCAGCTAATCACGCATCCACCCATCAGAGGCCTGAAAATTCAAACCCGGCCTAAGCTCAGAGCACTCGAGACTTGAAATTTCGAAGACCATTGTGTGTTTTAACTTCAATATAGTATAAGTGGAAGTCATCGAGTATATAACCAGAACTAGAGACGAAATGTCATATAATTTGTTTGAAATGTTCTGCCATATCATTACGATGACAACTGCGCTCCGATTGGCCAGCCCGAATTGGAAACATTTTAACTTGAGCTTTGCTATAATGGACGAAAATTGAAAAATTACTTATTTAATTACCGATGAAATGTGTTTCCTTCTGTTTTGTAATTAGATGTTTTGCTGTTTTTCTTTATTACAATAAATACAGAATATTTTTGAAATAAAGATCAGTCCACATCAGATACACATAGGTCAGTTTTTGGTGCTGTACTATTTCAGCTTTCTAATTTGTGATTTCAGTGCAAACGAGAGTTGGTATTTAAAAGTGACATAAGGTTCATTTGCCTGATGAATTGGCAAGGATGGATGGCCCTTATTTCGTCTCTATTTCTGGTTATATACTCGATGGTGGAAGTTTACGAAATATTGGACGAGGAAAGATCTCAATGCGGCCACAGATAGTGCAACCACCGTGGCAACGTATTCAAATTGGGAATATGGCTGTTTTTGGGATCTAAATCGCGAATATTTGTTTTTTTTTCTCAAACAAACGAACGTTTTTAGGCTGTTTACAGGGCCCATGGTCACGGCTGACTGAAAAAAGACACAAAATATATACGCGTGTTATATCCGAAATAAAATATCAGTTACGAAGTTAGTCCTATAATGAAATGTATTTGTACTCGATTTGCTTTCAAAGTAAATCATTTAGGAAATTCGCACACTATTTTACGTGATTTTTATTTAAAGACGCGTCCGGTCAAGCGGTGGCAAACTGAAGAAATTTGAAATTTTTGATGCGACGTGTGCGAAATCATAGGAGCTAATGCAACTTGTGTATCTTGAGCAAAATTTGTTCCTGTTAAGGTTTGTGATAAATGTAACCAAAAATACGCCGCTAGTATAGCGCGTGTATCTTCTGGATCGTGATATTGCAAACGCCATATCTGCAATTTTTAATTTTCACGATCAAACAGGCGTGTTGATTCACCACTAATTGTGCATAATTTGTTCCTGATAAGTAAATTACGCCTAAGTTACTCGTTGTTTTAAAACATCGGTATAATAAAATTGTATTTTTACCCGACTGCGGCGGAACTGATAGAAGGGTTATAAAGTTTCTTGTGATTATTTGTAGCCATTATGGCGGTCGAATGCTAGTGTAGTAATTAAACTTAATTTTGTAGTAACAAGCTTATGTATTGTCTTATGTATTACGAATCATTTATACATATAAATACTTTTTTTAGTAAATGCCAGGTACATTTTTCAATTATTTGTTTCAATGTTTTAACAAACCTTTTTACTAGCACCTGCTAGCAACAAATAGCTAACAACTCGTCCGTAGGTAGGCCATACAAATATTTGTCCCGACCCGGAAATCGAACCCGGGAAATCTGCGTGGCAAACTAGCATGGTGACCGTTCGGCCACGGAGGCAGTTATTTAAAGCTCGTGGGTTGCAATGCAACTGTTATGTATAGATGTCGCTTACCATAAGGCTGTTGAAAGGGCGCATGTGACACTTGCAGAAAATGAGTTACATGTACGTGTCCGTCAGGATGGCTGGACCAAACGATATAATATACAAATGAAACTGCTCATTATTTTTTGCTACCTTTTTTCTACTATTTGGTATCTTTATTGACATATTTTCTACCTTTGCGCTAACGGAAATATTAAAGAAATGAAGTGGCCAGCCATTCTGAAGTCAGGTTGGCTGGACCACTACGTTTTTCATAGTTGTAGCAGTATATAATTTACTTTTTTTATATAACTTTTACTACCTAATTTCTACCTAAACATACTTTTTTTCACTATTTTAGGAAGCTTCTATAAAAAGTTATTTAAAAAAAGGCCTTTGTACAATGTATCTTCTAAAAAGACAGTTTATCTACCGTGTAATTGCTAACATTACCTTTACATTCGTTTAGAATATGACAACAATGGTTTCTGGATTATCTTTGCAAGCTAACTGCCTAAAATAGTGAAAAAAAGTATGTTGAGGTAGTAAATAGTTAAAAGTTAGAAAAAAATAGAAAAAAGTAAATTATATAGGTACTGCCAGAACTATGAAAAACGTAAAGTTGTCCAGCCAGCCTGACCTCAGAATGGCTGGCCACTTTATTTCTTTAATATTTCCGATAGCGCCAAGGTAGATAGAGAATACGTCAATAAAGGTACTAAATAGGAGAAAATTGGTAATAAATAATGAGCAGTTTGATTTGTATATCTCGTATGCTCCTGCCGGACACACATGTACTGCTAAGGGCGTAAGTACCCACGGTTTTATGGTCAAACTAAGTTATATGGACGCATTTCCAAAAGAAATTGGTAAAAAGGCGTAATTGCATAGGTACTATTAGCTTCGTTGCGGACTCAGTCATATTATCGTATTTCGCGCTAGACTTCGTTAATAAAAAATAAATATTGTTTCATTTTCCTTGTGTAATTATTGCAAAAACCTACAAACGCGAAACATGTAACCAAGTAAATTACATTTTCTAGGGTAGTTATTCCTGGCTTGCATGTTCGGTTGCGGGACCCTAACCGATCTCGGACAAGCGGTGCAACTCGCTGAGATACAGCGGTTCTGTGGGATGTTTTCACACATATCTCCATTTACAAGAATAATTCATATTGGTGGATTACTTTTTTAAAGCACAAAAACTATGACCAGTGGCGTCACCTGAGTCGGCCTTTGGCAAAATAAAATTAATTTCGGCCGAAAGACATAGACCTCCCCCTCGGTGCGACTTGTATCTGATAAATAACTTTGTTCCATTTTCCACGCTTTGTTGCGCCTCTGCTAAATTCAAGCGCTCAAGAATCATTTAGCATTTGCTTGAGATGTTCCTTTTCAGCACGAAAGAAAAAACAACAATAGGAAGGCCCCGATTACTATCATGACCCAATAACTCAAAAGGACTGTTAATCGCGGTACAAGACGCGTATTTAGTAGTACCTATTGGTATACTCGAGTACCAAATAGCTATTTTTGTAATTAATTTGTTTTGTTACACTAACAAGATGCTATTAACTTGTCAAGGTACTTTCTAGAGATGGGTATCGATAAATCGTTGAAAGTTCAATCAAATATTAAAACTTCCTTCAATGTGCTGCCATCTAGCGTCAATAGTTGAATAACGACGAACGATTAAACACCTACTAACTTTCTTCAAAAAAGACGACGCTTCGTTTAATTTCTTGTAATAACAAGAATATGAATAGATAATTGAAAATGTATTAAAATTAAATAAGACGATGCTATGAAACACCGCTATGGATAAATTATAAATGGGGCTATCATTTTTGCTCTTCATTGTAGCACAATAAGGTACTTTTTCACGATTTTCGAGGGATTGCGCGAAATACTTGAAATGACCATAACGTACCGAGAACTCTTCTGATTAAATAAAACTGCAGACACATCGTCGTCGCATTTTATCGTCGCGACACGCGCGATAAAATTGAAATAAGCGCGCACTGTTGGCTATCTAATTCTATTATATTTTAAGTTTCTGGCTTCTAAAGAATTTTGCCAATGTCCAGGCAGTCATGGGAGTTACACTTTTTTTTAATGTTTAATTAATTAACACTGCTCTTTAGTCTATTCTGGAATAATACAAAACAACACGATATTCCTTCACCATGACATGTATATTAATATAATATAAGTAAATTAGTTTTATAATTTAAGTTTGTTAGTACTAATAAAATCAGATATTAATTTTACGAGAGGATTAGTAAAAACAGATAACAGAACTTGAAATTTACGGGGCGAGGAATAGAAGGTGGAAGATTATCATAAATGGAACATGTTCGGGTAGGGCAGCTGAAGAATATGTGGTCTGGAGTGCCATCATCCAGGCCATATTCAAAAAATTGAGCTATCCCGTATTCTGAGTTTTGCCAGATGGACTGGGGTGCCCAATACGGAGTCGGCATATTGTAGACGTTACAGTTTTACTAAATCCTTTATAGATAAAAAACCAACGCTTTTTGGGAATACATGTTTGGATGTCAGCGAAGTATTTGCCCTTAGTGAGTTTTCTTTTATTACACTCAGCGCTCCACGAGAAAATCATATCATTGGTAGCTAGAGGCAAGAAATCATAGGTATATATCTTATAATACGTAAGACAGCCTGTTTGAATAGCATTTTTTGCCAACATATCTGCGGTTTCACTGCCTTGGATCCCACTGTGCCCTGGAACCCACGCTAACACAACTTGTATATTATTACAATGACATTGGTATAAAACGTCCTTGATCTTCATGATAATGTGGTGTTTAGTTTTTCCAATAAATTGGTTTGCCTGTAAACAGCTTTTTGAGTCTGAAAAAAATTATACCTTTGTTCAGTTTGTGGGATTCAACATAACTAAGGGCTTCAAGCAGGACTGTAGATTTCGCTGTGAATATTGATGCATGAGATGGACATTTGCAGTTTAAAACGATTCCATACTTAGGTATCCATGCAGCTGCACCAACACAACCATCAGCTGCCAGTTTAGAAGAATCCGTATACATGGTAAGCCAACCTTGCCAGTCTTTAGCTAGAGTTTTATTAAACTGTCTGTCCGCAGCAGGGGAATCTTTGTAAATGCCAAAGTCTAGGATAATTTTAGATTTAAATATTAATGCATCATATGGACAAGAAAAAAGGGGACTTTTAACGCATTGAAGGACAGGCGAATTAATTTTGATAAATTTATGATAGCTTTTGAGAATGCAGGGTATCTCTTTGACTTGCCAATATTTAGAGGATCTAGTTAGATCAGATAGTTCATGGAGCTTGGTTAGGAGAGGATGAAGAGATATTTGTGCAACCTTGTAAAAAATCTATCGGCTAGAAGCTGCCTTCTCAGGAAGAGTGGAGGCTCGATACACACTACCTGCAGAGCATTTATTGGGGAAGACTTCATGGCACCGATGATAAGACGGATGCACTTTGACTGGATTTTGTCCCACAAATTGAGAACAGTTTTGTGACATGGGTACATTTTAATGTTCTTCATAAATATTTATTTATACATAATATTTATTTACGAGTCTTGCAGCTTTAAAAAGCAAAAATGGCCGATCGAGTTTAAGTTTGCGGAACACCGTGTACCTATTGTTGACACACGTGACACGCCCACTAAACATTTCCTTGTATTTATTAACCTACTTTAAACAAAGGAGGAGGTTTTCAATTCGACTGTATGTTTGTTTTGTACGTATATTACGCGATAACTCTGGTATTTGAGAACCTATTTTCATGATTCCTTTTTTGTTGGAAAGAGCGTACCTCCATAGTGGTCCCATTTAATTTTGAAGAAAATCACCCACCTCTAAGGGTGGCTGTTCACGCATAAAGATTCATTTTTATAAATAGCGCCTACATTTTATTATCAGGATAAATTATTTTAATGATTGATTTTGCTACTCTCCAATTCAAGGCGTTTTTCTCTTTCAATATACTTTGAGTAGTGAGAACCGATTTTTATTATCTCCTGTGTCAAGTCCCGTATAGTGGCGAACTAGGGGATGAATCCGGGTTTGCGCACTTTCCGGTAACCGATTTCAATAAAACTTGGTACGAGTAATTATACGCAATTCCACGTACTTTTGAGGTCGGTTTTTTTAGTAGGTACTCTGTACTGAGATTGTCGTTCTATTATTTCACCAATAATTGAGTAAATAAAAACGTACTAAAAGGTAGGTAATTAGGAGATTATCGAATGTCGAATAATATTTTATTATATCAAAATCATTATCGAGTACACGATATACGATAAAATAAATAATTAATTGCATATATTTAATTATGAGTTTCGAAACAAGTTATTCCTCTTTCTTTTCTTCTGTCTCCTCGGCTTTTGCTTCTTCAGATTTCTTTTTTTCTTCCCGCTTTCTCTCTTCTTCAGCATCTTCTGCCGCTTTCTGAAACAGAAAAGAAATCGACCTCTGATAAGTAATTACTCCCGCAGCTTGTGGCTCGGACGCGGCTACTCGAACGCTTAGTTTGCGTCGATGCTATATAAAATATATGAAAAATCTCGTCGGTAACTTGTGGCCGCCACAAGTGATCCGAGGGGCGAGCGGCTACTATTTGACAGCAGTGCCACGCAGCGATTCGCTCGTCAAGACGCGGCTAACTGACAAAATATTTTTTTGAGATATCATAAAAATCACCACCCCGTTTTCAGATTGAAATTGTTTAAGAGGGAGCAGAGGAAAAATTCCTAATCTTCGATTTGATTTTAGAGGGGTATATCCACTTTAAAAATAAAATATTGTATGAGTAACTACACGATATATTCAAGCATAGACATTAATCAGAAACATAAAACAATAAAATTTCCTCGATAGATAAAAATCACGAAATTACCTCTAATTTTCACATTTTTTCGATTTATCCTCGAAATGCTACAGGTTATTAGGACAAAAATTAGATAATTAATTATATTTATGCATGATCGACAACTGTCACTACGGATTTTTTTTAATCCCTTTAAGGCCGGCGCAGACTGACGTCGCGGCACGGCGAGGCATGCCGCGGCATGTCGAAGCGCGTCGCGGCATGCCGAAGCGCGTTGCGGCATGCCGCGGCATATTCGCTGCGCGCCATTCGCCGAAATCGCCGCCGCACTAGTTTCAAACCTTATTTCAATTAGTTTCATTGTCATAATTCTGTGACCGACGAGACTTGCGGGACGTCTGTGGAATGAAACGGCATGCCACGATGTGCCGCGGCATACCGCGGCGTCCTGCGGCATGCCGCGGCATGCCACGACATGCCGCGGTATAATTGTATCGAAATAAAGTAATATGAATTCTAACCTCGATGAAATAAGGATAAAAATAACTCGATCAAAAATAAAATCCTTTGCCGTGCCGTGCCATGCCGCGACGTCTCTCTGCGCCGGCCTTTAGTTTTAGAGTTATTCCGCTAAAACGAATTTGGTACTTTTAGCCGCGTTTAGTAAAACATGATCACTTCTTACCGCAGCCATTGCAAGGTCGTCTTCTTTCTTTTTCTGCAACACCTTACTGATTTCTCTGATTAACTCCAATTCCTTTAATTGACGCTCGCCGAGGTCGATGAACACTTTTACTGGCATCTGATAACAAGAGTTCAATCAGTAAATGTATTATACACATAGACTTTTTTATGATACCCGTAACGAGGTAAATAATATGACTGGTGGTAAGCTAAGCGACACGCCTGTCTATAACAGTTGCACTGCTGCTCAGAGCTTAAATCTCAAAGAGGGACACTGCACTGCGCCCGTCACTTTGAAACATAAGTTGATATGTCCCATGTGCCTGTAATTTCACGAGCCCCCCTACCTTCAAAACTGGAACGCATGGAACTGCTTGGCGGCAGAAATCTGGACAAACTCTTTCACAAGGACTTCTGCTGCTACTAAATTACGCAAATGTGTGCGTCTGTACGGACCGTGCTGCTACGTTTGTGTGAAGTTACGTTACTACTTGTATTTATTATACTATGTTAAAGTCATAGATAGAAGAATTTCGCTCGGTCCTGAGCTCGTCGCATCCATCTGCTGCCAGCAGGCTTTCGCAAATCGTCACTCCATCTGGCCAGAAGGCGTCCTACACTTCATTGCCGAGCCGTGGTGTCCAGTCAATAACTCGCATCCTCCATCGGCTGTCGATTCTTCGACAGATATGGCTAGCCCACTGCCACTTTAGCTTGAATATTCTACCGGCTATGTCAACGACCTTAGTTCTCTGTCGGATAACCTCATTCCGTACTTTGTCCTTCAGAGAAACTCCGAGTATAATTCGTTCCGTAGCTTGTTAAGTTTAAGTGGTGACCCATATCGTGAGTGTCCACATCTCGGCTCTATATGTCATAACAGGTAGAACGCATTGATTTAAAAACCTTTGTTTTCAAACTTTGCGGTATGGGTGACAGGAAGACTCGATATGGTTTACCAAATGCTGCCCAGCCCAGCTGAATCCTCCTCTTGGCCTCCCTCTCGGAGTGGTTGGTACCTAATCGCACATTTTGTCCGAGGTAAATGTATTCGGCCAATTTATACGATTGGTCTACGGACAATGTGATCAATGATCATTACTTTCGTTTTATATAAGCTATGCTGTCCAACATCTGTTGTAGCTCCTTCAGCAAGCCATTAGGACTAGAGATGTGAAAAACTGCTTATTTTTTAAACGTTAAAACGTTGAGCTCTTTTTTAAAAAAGCGATGGCTTATAAAAACACTTTTACAAACGCCTTTTGATTTGAAGCTTACAAAATCGTTTAGTAAAACGTTTAAGCGCATAGACTTTTATCTTAAAAAAGGTAGCAATGTTGTGTTGATAGCGAAAAGCGTAAACCGTATTAAAACCTTTAGTGGTTTTAAGATAAGTTTATTTGTAAAACGAGTTTTATTTTTATTTGTAAAATTATTGTTCACATTGACGAATTAATTCAACTGCCTCCGTTTCCGAGCGGTTACCATGCCTGACTGCCACGCAGAGGTCCGATTCGATTCCCAAGCCGGGAGAAATATATACAATGGCCTACATTTATTTCTCTCGCGAGTTTGGGTGTAATTTGTGGTTTTCTACGAGTTTGTCCATGGCACCCGCAACACAGGGTTTCCCTAGAGCGGGGCTATGAGTGTGTTGCGTTATTTATTTATTTTATTATTTATTAATTTGTTTAGGAAACATAGACGGCGGGACTTGAAACATGAGTACGAGGTAAAAAATAAAATTGTTGAGTCTTCAACTGCCCAACGCTTAGGTACTCTTAAATTGAAAAGCGTGCTTATGTGCTTATTTTAAAAAGCAAATTTTTTGTGTTTTTCGTTTATACGCTCATCTCTAATTAGAACTATGTGTACAATATCTAATATATACATTACCTAAGTCCCGCTGCGGGTTCTATACGTACCTTACTAGGATCATTGAATACTTCTTTGAAAGCGGTGCATTTCTTATCTAGAACCAAGAAGTTTTCGTACGAAATACTTATGTACGGGTCTTTCACGACCATTTTGAAGATTGAAAGTACCTTGAAAATTAAAAATAAAATGTAAATAACTGATTTATCTGAATACACATCGTAGTTAGGTACTTATACCATTTGTTTATTTACAATTTACATCTCATAATTCCTCGCCTGATCCCTTTTTCACTTTTTCTCCAGCTTTCCCGTTTCCAAATTACATTCCATGATATTATAAAAAGTTTCCCCATTTTAAAAACAAGTTAGTCAAAACACTTTGTTAGTGGCTAAAACGCTTACCGCGAAAAGCCAAGAGAATTAAGAAAAAAAAATCTGCCTTTCGAAGAAAGAAAGGCACAAGCATATAAACTTCACGGAAATCTAATAAACTTAATTACAATTATTAAAGCGACATCTGCTGGTAGCTGTAAAGGTACCTGGCTGAGTGAAGAAATAGAATTCTCACAGATGGCAATATGGCCAAAACGTCGTTAAAAAAAATCTGCAACATGCACATAGAAAACTTCGTAAGGTCCGCTAGTTCGTTCCGTGGCTTTGTTGGCATAGCGTCTAGCACGGTTTGCTAGGAGACGCTGGTTCGGATATATCGTCGAAAATCGAAATATTTTTTTCGAATCTTGACGTTTATAATTTTCTTTTCTTTTATTGAAGAAAAGGTGGGCGTGGGCGGGGTAGGTACATTGCGAGAATGGACGAGAGGCGCTGTACAAGGCGAGTGCTTGAGTGGAGACCCAGAGCGGACATCAGAGGGCGCGGCACACCACCGCAGACCTGGATGGACGACATCCGACGACACGGAGGTCGGGACTGGATCAGTCGGGCACAAGTTCGCCAAGAGTGGAAAAAAAGGGCAGAGGCCTACATCCAAGATTTGATAACAAAACGGCCGCCATGATGATGATAATGTATTAATAATAACAAACTAGTGGAGTAATTTCACTAAAAATAATTGAATATCACGGTGGTCAAACATCCTCACATTCAATAAAGTTAATTACCATTATGTTTAATATGTTATTTCTCGAAATTGTCATACATAGTCTATGTGTCAGTAATAATAGTAAATTTATATAACATTTTATAAATCTCCTATTTAATCACAAAAAGTTATCTTATAATTTCATTTGTCTTATCTTTGAAACTCTCTTCTGAAAAAATTTAATTTTGAAGATGTAGCCTTATTACATCAAAGGTGCGAATAAGGACCTTGTTAGAACGAATTTAATAAAGTAGATATTTATTTAACTATTTAATATGTAATTACGTCTTTATTGAATGTCATTTATTACGTCATTTATGAATGATATATTTATCATTTCAAGCCACGGGATGAACAAGTCGTGCACCTGGTGGTAAGCTACACGTCTGTCCATAACAATTGCAGAGCCACTCAGAGCTTTAAATCGTAGATCTGAGGCGCATCGCCCGTCACCTGAGACATAAATTTCACCAGCACCCTTACCCTTCAAAACCGTAAGACAGTAATACTGACATTACTGCTCGGCGGCAGAAATAGATAAGGTGGCAGTACTTCCCTGGATGAACTCTTTCACAAGGAGCTCTATTGCTTCCAAAATTTATATAAAATTAATACAAAGATCGAACACTTGGAAAAAGATCCTTCGATCCGGCCGGATTCGAACCGACGACTCCTAGCAAACCGTGCCAACCGCTACGCCAACTAAGCCAAGGAACGAACCAGCGACCTCACGAATTTTTCTATGTTCTTGTTTGTCGGATCTTTGTTTATAGTTTTAACGACTTTTAATTATTTTATAATAGTTATAAGTATAAATTGATTGAAGTAATTAATAATGATTTAATATGTATTATAATATTGATAGACTCACCACGTAGAGAGCCGAGCGGAAAATAAAATTTCGAAGTGACAAAGCGAACGATTAACTTATTTAAATTGTTTTTTACGTCAACTGTTCATGGGCTCGAGGACGTAAACATTTTCAATTTTAAATACAAAAAATTTACTTTTTTCTGCAATTCCGACATTCTTTTAAATTCTTTTGTATTACCGAGTGATGGGACGGACTAGTCGTGCACCTGGGGGATGATTCACGTAATCAAACCGTTACGATATCGTAGCGATTTAGTCGTTGAGCTGCTTTTTCGTATTCACGTGTGACAGTGAACATCAACAAGTCCAATATTAAAGTCCTTCGATCCAAACGTCGTTAAAGCGTATTCTAGTATATGAATCGAACTTACATCGACTCTAAACGGTCATACGTCATACGTATTCTGTTTCTGTTAGGGAAGTCATACGTATTTTCATTGACTTACAATTATATGGACGTCGGGTCCGCGCTAAAAAGTGTCCGCACTTGTAAGGCGCTAAAATCGTATACAGAGCGCGACACTCCGCTTTAGTCTTCATTTGTTCTACTGACAGCGCGATACTGCGATGACATTACAATTTAAATTTCGAATAGGCTGACTTGGGACATTTTTTTCGTGGTTTTTTGTATTAGACCCGTCGTCCATTTATTTGTAAGTCAATGCGTATTTTGCTAAAATTTTGACAGTTCTTTCAATAGACTTTCTACGACTAAATGTCAAATTTCACAATCCAAGATGTCGTTCATTAGTCGTTATACGTTTCGATTCTACTCACATCAACGTTCGTTCAAGTGATACGTGAATACCCATTTAGGACAGGACTTCGATCGAACGACTACGTAACTTCAACGATATTTTGATAGCCTGAACTTTAAATCGCAAGCATTTTAGGGGCACTGTCACTTTGCCGTCCACTAACTAAAACTAAGACAAATGGTCAAATATCAGTTTTAAATTGCAAACGATAGAGCACAAAATTCTCTTTTAAAAAACAGTTAAAATTAGTTAACGTGTTCGATTTATAGCTCTAACGATGCATAGCTGAAATATCATTAGATAATTTCAATATTCTAAAACTGGGTGATGGTTTTTTATGATATCTCAAAAAATTATTTTGTCACACCGCGTTTAAGTTAGTAGCACTGCGCCCGTCACCCTGAGACATAAGTTGATAAGTCTGCCTGTAATTTCACTAGCACCCTTATCCTTCTAAACCATAACACAGTAATGTTTACATTACAGCTTGGCGGCAGAAATAGGTAAGGTAATAAGTAAGGCAGTACTATCCTGGACGAACTCTTTCACAAGGAGCTCTGTTACTACAAAGTGGATAACTTTTTTAGCTAAAGCATCGAACATATGAACGCATCATCTGATCACATTACACATGGGTCACGATGGACCCGGGTCATCAGGATTACTCGAAACGACATCAATTTTAGTCTTGTAGAACCTGCACTATGAGTGCCAGAAAAACGAATTTGCTCTGGGACACTAACCGGAACATCCCGACCAGAACCCATTTAGAAAAGTTTATCCCCCAAATCGGTTCAACCGGAAATCGAACCCGGGACTTCGTCGTCTAGCGTCCACAGTGCAGACCGTACCGAACGTTAAAAGGTTTCCCTTAAAAAATTTCAGACGGACAGTTCATATTTTGAAGTTATTTTAAGACCATGTAATTTTATTAAAAAATGTTGTCCATCCCTGAAGTCAAACGTCAAGTTAATTAATAAAACATAAATTACAGCTCTTGAACTTTACTCTATTAACATAAGAATAAAATGGATTACAATTGCTAATTTCGGATGTTTTTGAAAAAGTTTGCTGCTTTGTACGTATTTTTAAAATAAATAAAAGTACCTACCAATAGATTTTCGTTAGAAATATTCCATTCTTCTAATGAAAATCAACGGGTTGTACAATATTTGTACAATATTTGAAACAAAATTTATTGTCCATAGGAAATAAAACTATATTTCCGTATTTAATTCGCGTATATTTTTTTTTTTCAAACAAACCGACGTTTCGGGCCCTTTACAGGTCCCATGGTCACGATCGACTGAGGTGGTACAGTCTTCAACCAGTTATGTCTAATATTAATGCAAACCACCCTATTTTTTCACTATAGTTACAATAGTTATTAATTAAATTTTTAATTTTACAAAGAAAGCATTCCAATTTACGCTTAAAAATAGTTTCATTTCCTATGTGTAACAATCGCGAAAACCTAAGAACTTTATTGTCCATGTTTACAAATGTTGAACGAGTTATTTATTATAACAATGTAATTAAACCGTTACAGAGATTATGCGGTTGTAATTTCTTTCATCGTCATGGTTATCCCACTAAACGTCCCACTGCAGGGCGCGGGTCTCCTTGAAAGGTGTAATGCAGATTGGGCCCTTCATCACCATCATCAACCCATTTATACGTCCCACTGCCGTGCACGGGTCTGCTCTCAGGTGAGGGTTCAGGTAAATTAGCCAGCCACACTGGTCTAATGCAGGTTGGAGACTTCACACATTCTTCGCGGATTGTGAACCTTCTGCGACATGCAGGCGTCATGACAATGTTTTCTTCACTGAATAGCTAACTCACTGTAAATTTAAAATTAAATTTCACACTTATACAATAGTTCAATATATGGCCGCTATTGAAAACTATTATAAAACTGAATTTAAAATTAACGTAACAAACAAGTATGATACTAGGCGCACCCGTGAAAATATATATGTATGTCCAAAAATAAACGACAGTTATGGTAAAAGAACAAATAGACATTCCTTGCCAATTATATTTAATAAATTAGATTTTTTTGAATTGAATTAATTTTGTTAAGCCTGTTATGGACAGCCCCACATCTTTCTACATAGGTTTTATTTATAGTGCTCCCTATCAACCTCTTGGTCATGCGGGAAGGGTACCAAGACCCGCGCGCGGATCATCAAGTTCCTGACCCCAGATCAGCCCGTTTGCACGGACTTCATCCAGTTCTCGAAAGGCTTAGTGCTATAAGTGAGCCGCCTCGAGTGCACATACAGCACCCTCCCTCCCTCCCTCCCTCCAGATAGGTACCGGAGCTATAGGCACGCTCACATCCTGTTGCGCATTGCACAACTAACGTTTGCCACCGCTGAGCCGTCGACTACAAATCTCCTCATGGTGGCGGAGCTGCAAGGCACGCTCACTTCGTCTCTCCAGTTCCCAAATTCTTACGCGACTGGAGGGACCGAAGGATGTCTAGCTCATCCTCTACTAGCTCTCCGGGCTAGTGCCGGAGAAGCAGTATTTTGCGACAATGTCCGGACATAGCTAACGACTTAAAGGGCGACTCACGTGCCCCACACGTTTACTCGCTGTTAGGCCCTCGTCTAGACTGCTACTAAGGTGCGATAGCTGCGCTCAAGACGAACACCCTGGTCACATACTACCGGGGCAGTCGAACGTGTTCATCCCTGCAGGTAACCACAAACCCCGGCGAGCCCATACCCAACAACGGGTCCGCTAGAAACGCCCGTGAAGCCATATCACTGGCGGCGGGCTCGGCTCGAACGTCCGCCGTCTTACCGGGGAACCCGTAGCCTCCCCGAAGCTCCCTATCTCTCGGGTAGGTTGATAGGAACAAACTGTTATGGACAGTCGTGTCGCTTACCACCAGGTGCACGACTTGTTCGTCATTTGGCATCAGATAAATAGTCCGTCCGTTTATGAGGTACGACGCCATAGCAAACACACAGACGCACAGACAAATGGCTTCAAACTTATTACTTCCTTCGTTTTGCGTCGGGTGTTAAAAACTAAAGTTATCAGGATCTTCTGATTCTATAGGTAGGTACAATTCTACAAACAACCCTTAGAGTTAGGACAGACGAGCGTAATTTTGTGACTTGTGAGTCGCGTTTTTTACATTTGCTTTCGACTGAAATTCGGTTGGGGCGCCAGACAAACTTATTTATTCAGTTGCTTTTTAACGTTTATACGGAGTTTGCAGTGCGTTGATTTATCCGCTCGGGACCAGCCTTAAATATGTTGCCCCTTCTATTTTCATTATTACAAAACTAGTTCGAACGAGCAGGCTCGGATCAACTATGTTTTTATGTTCGCCTGCCGTCGCCATCTTTGTATTGTTCAAGATGTCGTTTTCTCAAATAGTCGAATTTATTTTCGAATTTTAAGTAAAAAAAAAAAAATTACTAGTGATACCTGGGTAGCTACGTAAATGAACACTGGAATAGAATAATCCTTCATGAAAATGAAAAAGATTTTGTATTGTAGAAGATTCAATCCTAAACTCCGCATTGCCGCGTTTGGTCCGCTGTTATGTCTTCAGTATCTTGTTGTTTAGTGTGGAGTGTTGGACCTTGACTCCAGCGTTATGCTCAAAACTGGAGTCCTTTGAGATGTGGCTGTACAGACGTATGCTTGGCATATCGAGAGTACAAAAGGTCACCAATGTTGAGGTTCTTCGTGAAATGGGAAAAAAGTTGTAAATACTCAGAACTGGAAAGGAAAGGAAGCTGCCGAATTTTGGCTATGTAATGAAGAGCAAGAGATACCGGATTCTTCAACTAATAATGCAGGGAAAATAAATAATAATAATAAATATTAGACAACAATACATATGTTGCTCTGATCCCAAAGTAAGTTGGCTAAAGCACTTGTGTAATGGTAATCGAAAACAACGACGTTACCACAAACATCCAGACCCGAGACAATGTAGAAAAGTCAGTTTTCAACAATGACCGGCCGGGGATCGAACCCGGGTCCTCAGAGATGGCGACACCATGAAAACCGGTATGCAAGCCACTCGACTACAGAGGCCGTCAAAATACACGGAAAGCGTAGTCGTGGCAGGAGGAAAACCTCGTGGTTGAAGAATCTGAGAGACTAGTTCCACCTCAGCACACGCAGCTTCAAAAATGAGAATAGCCATAGTGTAGAGAAGCGGCAAACAAGAAGAAGACGTTAGTGCTCGGTCGCGCACGCCGCCGCCCCATTGCTCTGCACCCCCCACGCTACGCCACTG